TAGCTATATGGTTATCCTATGCCTAATTGTTCCTTAATTCCTCAATTTGCTGAATACCAGGTAAGGCAAACGGGCAAAGCATTGGATGACACTGATGCTTGGTCAAAGAAGAAAAGGGGACGTGCGAATGCAATTACGCTTACAGCACAAGGTGATGAGGTACGATAATGTTCTGTCTTGGACCACCATGATTCTGTAGCAAACATGCGTATACTTGTCAATTTGGTACAGCTCATGTGAATAATCGCTTCAAGGCTGATGAGTCGATCGCTGATGATGCGTCTCCTATGGCTGAAGGTTCTGATGACACTTCTCCTACAGGGCAAGCTTCAAACTCCATGTCTATCCCTGACACCTTGTCTTGTGAACAGAGAATTATCTATGAGAATCCACGGAGTGGAATGTATCATTTGAAGAAGCTGGTTAGTATTTTTGTGTTATTTTTCCTCAGTCGGTCGCATTTTTGCGGAAGCCATAATGAGACCGCCGTCACACTCGGCGACGGACGAGCGATCGCGATCGCTCCATCGCTTGTCCATCGCTTGCAATCGCTGCCGAGAGCGATTGGCAAGCGATTGCGCAATCGCTTGCAAAGTGCACAAGCGACGGGCGATTGGCCCCGCCCCCAGTCGATGCAGTCGGCTGCGGTATCGATCGAGCAGAGCCATTGCCCGTCGCTTGTGCACTTTGCAAGCGATTGCGCAATCGCGTGCCAATGGCCGATGTCAGACTTTGCGATTGGAGCGATTTTGCACTAATTGGAGGCGCGACACTGACGCGACTCAAAAATACGAGGCCACGACGCTAACCAAAGGCCTTTTCGTTGCTGCCGTGCTGCCATGCACATTAATTGCGGTATACGTGGTGTTTTCGCCCTCTCGCGTAGGACATACTCTCGCGTTTTTTCTCTCTTGGGGCTATGTCTCTCCATCATATCACGGCCGACCTTGCAGTAGAAATTTTAGTGTTTCCTATGGTGATTCTTACTTTTTTATGCACTAATGCTCCTCATTGAACTTCTTGTCTAATTTTTAAGATGTGAGTTTTTTCTACTAACCAGGAAAGGCATTCAAATTCCCATTGAACTTTAAGTTAAGACCAAAATAAAAATATATCGATAGTACTTCAAACCCTGATTACAATTATGGATGCTAAAACTGCAAAATGAATCTGCCAAGGAATCTGTGAGTAGTCAAAGTTGGCTGCATGACAAACGTTACATATGAACTGTGTTACCCTCCGGCTATCGAAATCGCCGTTTAGTAGTAATAGTGCACTCGCTCTCTAGTGCACTCGCCCTCCATCCGATAGGTCATGAGTTCTCTTCCCGTTGGAGCGAAATTGAGAGCATCACCACGACTATACAGCTGCTCGGAAAGCCCGTTGAGGCTAGCACGGTCTATATGTAACGCATTCGACTTGCCAGGGCCAAACTTTGACTGCTCACACCAGGGTCAACCCTGCGTTGCGCAAATTCCCAAATTTTTACGACCCCCTTCCTTTTCGGGGGGTATCGGTACGACCCCCCCCCATATTAACTATCATGTCTTTCACATAATTTAATGCTCATCAATGATGGCAGTCACCAACATGGAGAAGTGGTGGACCGTGGTCAATCCGCGCGCTCTGTCTCGCTCAGAGGAGGAAATCGAGGCAAATGAAGTTTTATTCATTAAATAGAAGGAATTTCCAAATTTTTGCGTAAACCAATACATCATTTTAATCGTAAAGATTTCTACTTTCAGAAACCCACCAGGATTTTTTCGATCTCTCAACTTTCCTTACCTTATAATCTGAAAAACTAAACCTTGTAGCAATTACATTGCAATCCAAACCCCTCCATTCAGAAGGTTATATTTTCTTTCAGAAGCTGTTTCATGAAATCGGACACCAAAATTTTGAAAATATAAATAGTTTTCTTCCTGAGGAGTATTTGAAATGTTGTGGATGTTCAATATTTCAAAAAATCGTCCCGTTGTTCCGTTTTCTGTGCACACGCGAGTTTTTGACATTCAAACATTCATAACTTTCTTCATAATCAACTTTTTGCAAATGTCTAAGGCTAATTAGAAACTAGAAGATTAGAGCTTTCGAACAAGCACCTGAAAATTTTCCAGCGATCATTTTTTCAAAAAATAGTCCCGTTGTTCCGTTCTTGGGTGGTTTGGGGTCCGATTTTTGAGAAGGCGCGAGTTTTCGACATTCAAACGTTAATAACTTTCTTCATACTCAACATTTTGCAGATGTCTAAGGCTAATTAGAAACTAGAGGATTAGAGCTTTCGAATAAGTGCTAAAACTTCTTGAAATAATCACTCGCTCAAAAAATAGTCCCGTTGTTCCGTCAATTCCACCTTGATTTTTTTCAAGCCATTTTCCTGGACCGCGACTATGCAGTCTTTAAAGGCCCATAACTTCCTTTGAAATTAATGTGATGAGAAGCGGTAAAGATTGTTGGAATCCACTCGAAGAGTACTTCATAACAACTGTGAAATTTCCCTGAAATTCCTTCTTCTGCCTCAATTTTCCTACGGCGTCTCTAGAACTCAATTCAGCAAATTCGCTACACTTTGTTTCGCTTAGATTTTATTTGAAAGCATCAAAAACTCTCTTCAGAAAGTTTGTCTGCTTACGGCCGCTGACAGAGGAGTTTTTTATGGGAAAACGCCTGCTCGGGTATACGCCGTGCACCTATCTGTGGGCAGAATTCGCACTCGCATTTGAAAGTCTTCTGTTTTCCTGAAGAAGGTGTTAGTATCCTGATTGAGTTGTATTGTGCTGTTATATGGCACTCTTGTTTCACTTTCCCATGAACTGCTCTACACTTTGTTCTCCTCGGGATTTCAGGAATGTTTCATCATCGAAGACAGACCATGTTTTTGCACTACACTGTAACAAAGTTTTTGGCTATTGTCTATTGTACTCTTGATCTATGCCGCGGAGCAAAAGCGCAGTCCGGATAGCGTCGCTTAAGGATAATAAGCTGATGGTGAGACTTATAGTGCTCTGCATGCTTTAATGCTCCCATGGAGCTCATGTCTGTGTGACTCTCCGACAGCGTGCAGAGCTCCTGGAGAACATTAGAGGCTGAAAGTGCACTCCCGGACACTGCACTTTTCAAGCCGTCTTGCAGCCCGTCTGTGGATACGACCCCCTCCCTTTTCGGTCGGCTGAATACGACCCCCTCGTTGTTCTTTGCGCAACGCAGGGTTGACCCTGCTCCAAACTTTCCCTGGCCTGCTCCATTTTTAGTCTTAATTTCCATATTGGTGATCAGCGTTCAAAGCTCTATCGATATATCTAGGTCTTATTTGAAAATTCATGGAAAGTTGAATGCCTTCCCTTGGATGTTCGATCTTTCGAGAGGAGGTTTTATTAGATTTTTCGAGGCTGTCATATACCAGTTGAATATGAGGCCCTTACATAATATTCAAAATTTTGATCTGAAAGGATTTGAGGGCGCTATCGCAATATGCACGGAAAAGTGGTGGCAATGATTTAAAACCGAAAAAGCATCTCCTTTTTGTTAAAATCGGGACTAAGCCTTGGGCGGAGGAGGACAGACTCCGGAGTACGTTAGCACTTTTCATTTTCTCCGAAGTTTCCGTCTTCTCCAAGTCTTAGTCCTACAGGATGCCCCCATCTTGCTATGGCGCCAATTAGAGAAAAAGCCGCAGTGTTCCGCCTTGATACTTCCACCAACAAATTTCCCAAGATTTTGCGGTATAAATCTGAATAACAATACAAATCAATTTGAAAAGCCACAGTTTTTGAAAATGAAATGCAATTGTGGAATAGGTAGAGCGAGTATTCCCACGAAAATGAAGGTAAGAAATTATTGCTATTAGGTTGGAATTTTGCGTTGTTATTCGGAAATATGCTCACATGCATTACATTTCCAAAATGAAGCTTTTTTTAAATAACGTCTTCAGATGCAAGTTTCTGAGAAATTTGTTGGTGGAGTACCATTATGTGGAGAGTGTACTTGAAAACAATCACGTTGCGTTGAACCACCCATTCCCCTTCCCCTGGCAGTGTTGCGTTTTACTGACTTTTCTGTTCTATTGGTTGAGTTTCCTCTGTCTTCCCAATGTCTTTGCTTCATATGTGTCTTTCTTCAAAGAACACAAAATTTCAGCTGGCTGCTCGATGGGTGGAAGATCTGCGGAAGCAACACGTGCTACCTAGAAATGAGAACGAGAAATACAAGGACATGCTACTGTTGAGTGGCGATTACTCGTTGCGACGTACAGATTGCTCAGGAAATACTGCAGGACAAGCGGGTGTCGAGAAGGTGGAGCCGAAAACCGAGCACAAATCTTTCACTGACACGAATTCTAGCTCAAGCTCAGTGGCCAACGGCGAGGCAGAATCTGTAAGTGTTGACGCTGTTCTGCCTCTCTCTCTTCAAGATTTATGTGGCCTGTATCAGTATAGCCCATGATGGCGATCTGGCCATCATGGGCTATACTGATACATCTACCGTGTATGCTATGAAAACAATTGTATCAGACGTCCATGGAGAAGGCCTGCGTGATTGACATTCAAGAACGCCATTGTAACGAGCTCTTAATATTTTCAGGAGGACGAGAGCAGTGGTTTATGTCCTGAAATGAGAGCTCTCTGGAGAGAACATAACGAGGAACGGTCAGTTGATTGTTGTCGCCAGTCTTTTCACTTTTTCATGGAACTTCTGCTGAAACCTTTGGCTTTTCGAGTTGCTACCACACTAATGCGTCAGTCCTCCTTTTTTAGTGCAAATATGGTGAACCGGATGTACAAAGAGAGGGTGAAATTGCGACTCTTCTGGGAACAGGAGCTGCTTCGAATGGAGCAACGAGAAAAAGGCACATCACCCGTAATGTCAGCTGTTAGGTTTCTTCGTGAAAACGAGATGTGCAAGTAAGTTTTTCATAGGTTTGAGCTTTGCTTGGTTGTTTGCTAAGTACGTTTTGCATACTCGGCACGTCTGTGAGGTAACCAAGAGTATCGTTTCATCTACAGCATTGCAGTGCTCAAATATTGGAGGAAACAAATGAGCCTCTGAAACCAATGAATCGCAGTGAATTCGAAGAACGGAAGAACAAGTCGATCAATCAAATGTACAATAGGCATAGGATGGAAGCCAGCTCACTCTTTGGTCTGCAGGTGATCTTTGTGAATAGCCCGACGGTTGACATTGTTGCGTGTCGTTTTCCACGATTTCTTTCAGCGCGACTTGTGGTTGTGTGAAGCTCGCCGTCGCGGCCTAGAGGTGAATCCCGAATGCATCAAGGAATGCGTTCCAATGGTTAAGGCTGAGAAAACGGATTTTCCTTACTGAGATCACGTCTATCTTGAAATCAGTCATCTAATAACGGCGTTCGAATCCCATAATAATGGTAATACCTGAACTACCGAACTCAAGAGTTTTTCGCTGTCATTATTTTCCTGCACTGATCTTCATTGTCCATGTTCGTACATTTCTCATGAATTCTATGTATATTACATTGAAACCAATTTTATTTATTGTTTTTCCAGTGCTGGCTGTGATTTATGAAACTGTTGTGCTTAAATGAAGGAGTTCCCTCTGTGAATTTATGGATTCATTTGACCAGTCCAAAAGTCGTGATTACTGTACCTCTTGCTCAGTTGTCGTTCTTACTACACTTTCTGGAATCTATTGTTCACTGACTATTTTTTGAGAACAAGGCTGCCAGGAGAAACTTTTGTGTAACGAAGATCTAGAACTGCGCCTGCACAAGTTTGGGATGGCTGTCGATGTGGCTCCCGTACCGTACTCTACGATAATCCTACATTGCCTGAAGTATCCTCACAGTGGAGTTTACGGCGTTCTACTAGGCTCGAAGACGGGTAATAAGATAAAGGTATGATTTTTCTTTTCTGAGATATGAGAGAGGAAGTAAGTAGATTGGCGCATTTGCAAGATATCTATTTTGCCGGTTTTTCAACTATTTTGCTGCTTTCACGTATTCATACACGTAACTCGTGAGCGTCAGCGGTACAAGCAGGGTCAACCCTGCGTTGCGCAAATTCCAAAGTTTTCGCGACCCCCTTCCTTTTCGATAAGTATCGGTACGAATATTACCTATTGTGTCAGTTAGACGCTCAGAGACTGTCGGTATGAATCTTTATTCCTACTACTACATTCCTTTTATACTCCTCGTATCACATCCTTCGTGATCCTCTTCATTCTTCTTTATCCTCACCCATTCCGAACTCCTTCCTTCTGATCGCTCCATCACCCTAAACCGGTCTAGCCACTCTCCCGTAACAGTGTCTTTCACATAATTTAATGCTCATCATTGATGTATGGGCAGTCACCGACATGGAGAAGTGGTGGACCGTGGTCAATCCGCGCGCTTTGTCTCAGAGGAGGGAATCGAGGCAACATGAAGTTTTATTCATTAAATAGAAGGAATTTCCAAATTTTTGCGTAAACCAATACATGATTTAATCACAAAGATTTCTACTTTCAGAAACCTACCAAGTTTTTTTTCGATCTCTCAATTTTCCTTCTTTTATAATCTGAAGTAGCAATTACGTTGCAATCCAAACCTCCATTCAAAGGTTATATTTTTCTTCAGAAGCGGTCTCATGGAACCGGACACCAAAATTTTAAAAATTCAAATAGTTTTCTTCCTAAAAAGTATTTGAAATGTTGTGGATGTTCAATATTTCAAAAAATCGTCCCGTTGTTCCGTTTTTTGTGCACACGCGAGTTTTCGACATTCAAACATTCATAACTTTCTTCATAATCAACTTTTTGCAGATGTCTAAGGCTAATTAGAAACTAGAAGATTAGAGCTTTCGAATAAGTGCTGAAAACTTTTTTAAAGAATCACTCGCTCAAAAAATAGTCCCGTTGTTCCGTTTTTCCCTTGATTTTTTCAAAGCCTTTTTCCTGGACCGCGACTTTGCAGTCTTCAAAGGCCCATAACTTCCTTCAAAATTAATGTGATGAGAAGCGGTAAAGACTGTTAGAATCTACGCGAAGAGTACTTCATAAAAAGTGTAAAATTTCCCTGAAATTCTTTCTTCTGCCTCAATTTCCTAAGGGGTTTCTAGAACTCAATTCAGCAAATTCGCTACACTTTGTTCCGCTTAGATTTGATTTGGAAGCATTCTTCGGAAGTTTGTCTGCTCAGAGAAGGCGTTTTTGTGGGAAAACGCCTGCTCGGGTATACGCCGTGCACCTGTCTGTGGACAGAAGTCGCACTCGCATTTGAAAGTCCTCCATTTTCCTGAAGAAGGTGTTAGTATCGTGATTGAGTTGCATTGTACTGTTATATGGGTACTCTTGTTTCACTTCCCCATGAACTGCTCTACACTTTGTTCTCCTTGGGATTTCAGGAATGTTCGATCATCGAAGACAGACCATGTTTTTGCACTACGCTGTAACAAAGTTTTTGGCTATTGTAATCTTGATCTATGCTGTCGAGCGAAAGCGCCGTCCGTGTATTAAGGATAATAATGGCTGATAGTGAGACTTATAATGCTCTGCATGCTCTAATGCTCCCATGGAGCTCTTGTCTGTGTGACTCTCCGACAGCTGTGGTGCAGAGCTCCTGGAGAACATTAGAGCGTGAAAGTGCACTCCCGGACACTGCACTTTTCAAGCCGTCTTGCAGCCCCGTCTGTCTGGATACGACCCCCTCCCTTTTCGTTCGGCCGAATACGACCCCCTCGTTGTTCTTTGCGCAACGGGCAGTTGTCCTTGGTATAAGACGGGGCGGAAAATTTTTAGCTTTAGTTTCGCCTATGTCGATGCGATCTCGGCTACCAACAACATCTAACCTCTTTAGCGCTGTCAGCCTCGAACTTTTTATTTGACCTTAAGGTTCTGGAACGTATTACAATTTTTTTGAGGGAGCAACATTGCTATTTCGCTTATTGTGGAGGCGTACACAGTTTTAGACATGCTATGCTCATCCTAGCAGGCTGCCACTTAATTTTGATAATGAAGAAGGGAAACTGTTCCTCATGTAAAGGGAAGATGGCCATTCTAGAAGGGGGCGGTGGGTGGCTAGGGTGCTCATAGCGACCTAACGAGACTTGGCTCCTCCCTCTAAGTGCCTTCTTGCCTCTGCCGCCTTCTATGGTTGCTGGTTTATCCCCATCAGACTCTTACCGTTCTGGCGGAGAGGCAGAGCGGAGCGCTAACATTGGTGTCTTCAGCACTAAGGAGACTTGTCTCGCGCAGAAACTATTGACAAAAGAGTTAGGTTGTGCAGTTTTGAGCTGTTTCCCTTGATTTTCTTCGCTTCTGCATCTCTTAGCAGTTTTACGTCTGTTTCAGTAGGCGACCAATTTGGTGGAGACCAATTTTGGTGTGTCTCCTTTTACATCCGCTTTTAAGCGATTGCCCCGGCATTTTTTTAGTTAGCTATATGTCATCTTCGTTAGCACCGTTTATGAATTTTGTTATTAATCAACGTTCATTTAGAGGATTCCACGATAACAACGAAGATCGAAGAAGGGGAAACTTACGTGGTGGAGGGACAGGCGGACCTCTTAAAGCAACAGTCCAGGCAGGGTGGGCGTGGTTGGAGACGACGGCAATCCCCTCGGCCGATTTCCTTTTTGGAGCTATACAGCCCCAGCCATGAACATAAGAAGTGTTAGTGAACAAAAACACAACTTGGGAAACCGCTAGGAAGGGAGCTAAAGTAAGCTAAGTCGTAATCGGCCGAGGGGATTGCCGTCGTCTCCAACCACGCCCACCCTGCGTGGACTGTTGCTTTAAGTGTGCGCCCCGACAAGGATACGGTCCTGGCAATCTAGCATGAGCATCTTGCATAACTTCCCAGCGGCGCTATTGGTGCGGTACCCTCCTCTCGCATCGTCTTGTCATCCTTTGATCGTGAGTCTCTCGTCATTCGGCAGAGAGATCGTAAGCGCTGAAGAGGGCACCACCGATATAGGTTCTATCAATCCGAAATCAACGGGCAACGAAGGGGTTCCATTTCTCGGGTTTTAGGCCATTTTCCTTGGTTTTTATTTTTTCATTTATCAATGACCATCTCTTACCTAATTTCCAATGGCTCTTTCTCATCCGTAAACCGCTTTTAGAGTGCTTCTCATCCATCGTGTGAGTATCATTCATTTCACTACTGACCCGCTAGTAGTTTTCAATCGTTTTTTGAATATTTTTTTTTCGTGATCCTTTTAATGGGTGATTCTTTTTGTGACGCTAAATCACGTGATATACAGCAGACAAAAAGTTACGGGAAAAATAGCGTCTTTATGTGTAGTATAATAGTATAGGAGTACCATGTTACCGAAGCTTGTTATCAAATTCCTCTCCATAACTGCCGCTCATGTGGGTCAAGTGGGAGGGAGCGTTCTATGGAAGCCTGGAATGTCCTTTTTTTTTCTTTTTCGCTGCTCATTCCAACAGCAGTTCATACTTCATTGTTCACGGTTAGTTTTGCTGCGGCACCATTCGCGTGCATCACATCAGACGCTGTGGTATGAAGAGGGCAATCACACTATTTCCAGTGCTCTTCGTGGCAACCTCACGGTTCGGTGCCACTCCAATATCACAGGCCTCCCTTAGCCTCGGCCGATACATTTATCACTTTTCCCGGCTCTGTCATTTCTTGAATCGCAAAATGAATAATCCATAGGTGACTCCGCCTACTCCGGCTATCACACAATCCTGTTTACTCGCTTCCGTTCAGGCATCTCTTTTTTTCAGTCTTGCGGATCCCTTGAATCCTTGTTATATGTCCCGTTTATAACTCAGGCCGCAATTCTTGACGAGGCACGCTGCAACTCCAGTTAGTTATTACCTTCCTATGCTAGACTCTACTCACTTTTTTCCCAGTCCCCCGAACTTTTCGTTGCCCACATTGCCCACACGACACGCATACCATCGATATTTAATCTTTCCTCCTTCTCTTCCTCTATCCACTTGTTTCACCGTTTTCTAGGACTTCTCTGAACCGGATGGAGGGTTAGTAATAAACACCGCCCATTCAAGGACATGCTCTGCCTTCTGTGGGCGGGCTCCCGTCCTGTTCAGGTGCTGGAGACTCAGACATTCCTCTCCTGAATCGACTTTTTTCTGCTCTATAAGCTTCTGTCCCGAGTATGAACTTCTTTTTCATCAGCACTGCCATTTAGAGCGCGTGCGCCACACGGAGTGACAAATACCACAGCGATGGGAATGTGGCTTGTAGCAGTGCGTTTTAAAAGTATAAAGGCACTCTAAGAACTGCTGTTCCGAATTAAAATGGGGAATCCATGACTTGCAAACGGCTTTGTTGAATGCAGCATGTCCCGAAATTGTAGTTGGCTTTGTTCCAGAACGAAATAGAAACCGCATATTTTTATAAGAAATTTCGGAAGCCCTCCTGTTTCAAAAGTATGAAAGCATCTTGGTCAAGAGGGCTCTGAAACCTCGATTGGTTTCTTCTGGTCATCCTGTATGCGAATTCTGTGGGCATTCTCAGTGAAAACATTTCGTCTCTTCTGGATTTGGACGTGTCTGAGAGATCCGGATTTTATGGAAGTAACATAACGTCTGGAAGACTACAATTGTCATCCGAGCACGAATTAAGTCATATTCAGCAACCGTTTTCCAGTTGCACTACGTCAGTTCGACCAGGTCGAGCTTTAGCCTTCGCCCCTCGACACAATAATTACGTTGGAGAACTGCCAACTCACCTCCAAGTAGTAGTGGGAGAGCCACGATAAACGTTCTATGACTGGGCGAGCACCCCAGTACAGCTCGGAGGAACATGAGAGCGAAGTGGAAAACAACAGGAAATTCTACGCGATAGGGAGACATTTTCATTAAGGTGACTAGTTAATGGTATTCTTCGTGTTCAGGTGTCAACTTTGTTTTCGATCGGATAAGTTC